TTAAAAACTTAATATGATCAAAATATATATTATACGTACCCATGCACCTCTCATACATGTAACATCCTTAAAATATTTCATTCTAACAAGGTCAAATACTACTCAACATGCACCTCTCTTACAACTTGAAACTTAGAGAAGAATAACCTACGACACAATGCTAAAATCCTTAAATACTAACATCAATTCAAGAGATACACCATACATGTATACATTGCGAACGAAACAATAGGAAGCATGCCAATTTATCCCTTTTTTATATTTTTAACAAAGACAATTTTAAGATAAAGGAACACTTTGGATACTAGGTTCTAAAAGCCACAACAAATCCTTAACACAACATAGAGTGAAGGCAAAAACCTTCCTTTTCTTTTCTTATCTTAGGCCAATATTTTTCACATTATCCAATAGGTCAAGGCCAATATTCCTATAACGAATGTACATTCGTTATATATTACATTACAAACATAGAAGTCTCGTTATTTTCAGTTGATCAACTCAATCCTACAATCATTTCATCAAACAAATAGAGTTCACCTTACAAGCATTTCATCAAACACATAAAGTGCCCCAATTCACCAACTCAATCCTACAAGCATTTCGACAATTAATCTCACTTTCATGCATAACACATATTAAACAATTACCCAACTTTCATCTCTTTAAACACAATACACTATAAAATAACTACAATATCAAAAAATTCTTCTTCAACATCATTCTTCTTCTTCAATTAACACATAACACATAAATTCATTTTTCTTCTTCAACTTAATAAAATAATTTTAAACACAAAGGGTTCAACATCATTATACCCTTACAAAAAAAAATTAGAAAAACTGAAAAAAATAAAATTAACACTTAAAAAACTTCTTACCAACAATAGAGAGTTTCATGAGACAGAGCCAAGATAGCCGAGAGAGAGTGAGAGAGAGAGCCGGGAGAGATGAAGTAGCGAGAGAGATGCGAGAGAGGAGCAGATTTTTTTTTTTTTTTTTTTCAGATTTTCGGGCCTCAGTCGCGAGAGAGAGATAGGAGGGAGAGAATCTGAAGTTTATCGTTTAAATGGAAGAAGTATAGTGGGGGTGTATAAGTAATTTCTCTTTAGGGGGTGATTGGATATGAATTCAACTAGTAAAAAAAACTAGTTTTTTTAACTATAGTTGAGTTTACAAAAAGGAGTATGGTTAGTTGTTAGTGGATATATTAAAATAATATTTAAATTAAAATAATTAAAGTTGATTTGATGTAAAAGTAGGAGAAAATGATTGAAAGTGATGGTTAGTTAAAATTATGTGAGTGGATGAATAGTGAATTAAAGTTTATGTGATGTGTAATAATAATTGGTTGATATTATTTAATTATATTTGATAATATTGGAGATAGTGGAGTTGAGTTAAATTTGAGTTTTGAGTAAAATATTTACTGTAGAGTTCATAAACAATCACGCCCTTAATTGCTATTTTTCATTTTCTTTTTTATTTTTTTTTTAGTTAAGGGTTATTTAAACAAATTGTATAGTGGGATGGGTTATTTGAACTAATTCCCACTTGTTTGATGTCACACGCCACTTTTTCACGGAGACACAAAATAAAAAATGACAGAGATTTTCTCTCTCCAGCTCATCTCAAACTCTTGCGAACCTAAAATCCGACTCCTCTCTTGCCGATCGACGGAGAGCGAGCACATGTAGGTTCTGGAGATGACTGTCTCCAATAACCCGAATGAGAAGACCTCCTATGGTCCCCGAACATCTCGCGACTGCTCCAAACGCTGTACAAGCCATCCCCTACGGCGGCTGGTACAACATCACCCATGCCTATGACCGGGAAATAATATTCCACCGGCAGAAAAGCTCCGAGGAATCAGCTCGCCAAGAGGTCGGCGGATTTAGTCAGAGGTGTTATATTCTCTCTCTCTCTCTCTCTCTCTCTCTCTCTCTCTCTCTCTGATGTAGAGGATGATTACGAAAGGGAAAGAACAATCTCAAGAGAGAACAGATAATTTTTATTCAATCGATGAAAACTGTTTTCTCTCTTCTGTTCGCAGTACATAAATAAGGAGTTTCCACTAACTCCACTAAAGCACGATAAATCCTAATAATTAAAGAAACACCCCCATACTAATAAAATAACACAATTGCAACCACTAAAGATAAATAGACCCAAAAGGAAAATAAAGCAATAAAATAAATGTGTTAGACACGCAAACGGTCATATTTCTGCAAGAACATCAACGCGGCCTCGTCTCCATCATCCTCCCCGGGTTGAGGAGGATTCGCCCTCGAATCCGAATGGGCCTCGTCTTCGTCCGAGTTGTCACCCTCGAACGGCACCAAATGCTTGACGTTAAAAACGTCGGAAGTGCGAATATGGGACGGAAGCTTGAGGCGATAGGCATTAGGATTGATTTTTTCCACAACCTCCACCGGACCAATTTTCCGAGCAGATAATTTATTGTACTTATGAGCAGAAAATCTATCCTTCGTCAGGACAGCCCAAACAAAATCACCTACCTCAAACTCCAGGTGGCGACGACGAGTATCAGCATGCTTCTTATAAGAAGCAGTAGTCGCCTCCAGCCGGGCCCGGGCTGCCTCGTGTGTGTGCTGCACATCAGCGATGAAATCCGAAGCACGCCGATCGCCACTGCTGTCGGACGGCAATGCCACTAAGCCGGTTGGCCCGCGCGGATGGATGCCATAAACCACAAGAAAAGGAGCGAAGCCGGTCGCACGGCTAAGAGCCGAATTATGCGCGAACTCCGCCTGACTCAGGCGCTGGTCCCAACTGCGAATGTTATCCCCCACCAAACAACGTAGCAAGTTCCCTAAGGAACGATTCACCACCTCAGTCTGACCGTCCGTCTGAGGATGATAGGCACTGCTGAAGTCGAGTCTAGTGTCTGCCATACGCCACAAACTCCTCCAAAATAGCTCAAGAAGCGGGTATCGCGATCAGAGACAATCGCTGAAGGCAGACCATGAAGGCGGTAGATCTCCCGAAAAAACAACTGGGCCACATGGACAGCATCAGTGGTCCGTTTACACGGAATGAAGTGTGCCATCTTCGAAAATCTATCCACCACAACAAAAATGGAATCAAAACCATCTGAGTGCGAGGCAAGCCCAACACAAAGTCCATGCTGATGGCCTGCCATGGCTGCGACGGAATAGGCAGGGGACGGTATAAACCAGCATTCGTGGAAACACCTTTCGATATCTGACAGACACGACAACGAGACACAAAACGCCCAACATCACGGCGCAAAGAAGGCCAAAAATAAGAGCAACTCACCAGCTCGACGGATCTGTCGCGGCCCACATGGCCAGTGCCATGAAGATCAGCAATAAGCTTCTGGCGCAAATTGCAGTCAGGAATACACAAACGAACTCCCCGGAATAAAAACCCATCAGTGAGAGTGTACTCCTCATAAGGGCCATCTCGCAACCGAGCTAGAACAGTGCCAAAGAAGGAGTCAGTATGATAGAGATCACAAAGAACCTCAAAGCCAATCACCGACACGCGCATCTCAGATAGTAATAAAGCCCGACGGCTCAAAGCATCGGCAACCCTGTTCGAGGCGCCCGACCGATGTCGAAGGACAAACGTGAACTGCTGAAGGAATGACGTCCACGAAGCATGCCGTGCCGAAATATTATCCTGGGAGGCAAGATGACGAAGAGCCTCGTGATCGGTATACAAAACGAACTCCCGATGAAAAAGATAGTGTCTCCAGTGTCGCACAGCACGCACCACCGCATAAAACTCAACATCATACGTGCTATATCGTAGGCGGGAGCCCGACAACTTCTCACTGAAGAAAGACACGGGACGTCCATCCTGGCTAAGGACAGCACCGATTCCCACCTTCGAGGCGTCGCATGATAGCTCAAATGGTCTCGAGAAGTCCGGTAAAACAAGCACCGGAGCGTGTGTCAACTTGCTCTTAATGAGAGCAAATGCTTCCTCGGCTGCCTCCGTCCAGATAAAAACCTTCCCCGTGAGACAACTCGTGATCGGAGCCATGATAGAACTGAAATGGGAAATAAAACGTCTATAGAACGAAGCCAAGCCATGAAAACTGCGAGCCTCAGTGAAAGTAGTCGGTGTAGGCCACGCACGAACGACCTCGACCTTGCTGTCATCCACACGTATCCCAGAACCAGAGATCACAAAGCCCAAAAATAGAACCGAGTCCACCATAAAAAGGCACTTCTTCGGGGCCGCAAAAAAGGACTCAGCCCGAAGAATAAGCAAAACCTCCCGAATGTGCTCCAGATGCTCGGCCACGGTGCGACTGTAAATAAGTATGTCGTCGAAATAAACGACGACACATCTGCCAATAAGGTCACGTAGTGTCTGATTCATAACGCGCATAAACGTACTCGGAGCATTAGAGAGCCCGAATGGCATAACCAACCACTCAAAGAGACCCTCCCGAATCTTAAAGGCTGTCTTCCACTCATCCCCCGGTCTAATGCAAATCTAGTGATACCCACTACGAAGATCCAGCTTGGTAAAGATAGTGGCCCCGTGCAACTGATCATGTAAGTCATCCAGGCGAGGAATAGGAAAACGGTACCGGACAGTAATCTTGTTGATCGCCCGACTGTCCACACACATACGCCACGCTCCATCTTTCTTTGGGATCAACAAGGCCGGTACAGCACATGGACTCAGACTCCGGCGAACAACCCCTCGCTGGAGGAGCTCTTCCACCTGACGTCGCAGCTCCTCGTGCTCAACTGGACTCATCCGGTAATATGGACGGTTAGGCAAAGAAGCCCCTGGAATCAAGTCGATCTGATGCTGAATATCTCGAAGTGGCGGTAAACCCACAGGAAGCTCGGACGGGAAAACATCAGCAAACTCAGACAGTAGAGAATGAATAGCCACTGGCGGCTCCTGAACACCACTGGACTCAGTCCCAAACAATAAAAGAACAAAAGGTGCTGACTGCATCTCAACCGCAAAGGCTGCTCTCGAAAGAAATAGAACAGTCGAAGAACCCGCTGAAGGGGAATGACGTGGAGGACTAGGATGCAAAACAATTCGAACCCCGGCGAAGGTGAAGCTGTAAGTGTTACGTCTGCAGTCAAGAGTAGCAGCCAAGTCATACTGCCATGGCCTGCCAAGTAATAAGTGGCATGCATCCATGGGCACCACATCACACCAGACTTGGTCCCGGTATGTAGCCCCAATCGCCAAAGAAACAAGAGCCCGGCGGTCAACAGTAATAGCACGATCACGGTGGTTCCATGCCAATTTGTAAGGGTGTGGATGGGGCTCGCTCGAAAGCCCCAATTTCGCCACCGCTTCCTGTGAAATAACATTCTCAGAAGAACCAGGATCAATAATAAAGCGGCATACCTTGTCACCAATGGTGCACGAGGACTCGAAAATCTGATGGCGCTCCACAGGTTCATCAACAGGTGAATGAGGTGTCAAACACACCCGTCGAATAACAAGTGTCGAGCCTACGTCCCCGTTGTGATGTTCCTCGCTCAATCCGGGCTCAGTATCAAAAACAGGAGGTCCATCATAATCATAATCTGCAGCCACCTCCTGTTCGCCACCGTCCTCAATAAATAAACCACGAGATGTCGAGCCTCGTGGACAGGCCGATTGGCGATGTCCATACTCGCCACAACTAAAACACCGTAGCCCGCTACCCGAACGAACACCGGCCGCCGCTGGAGGAGGTCCGCCAATGCCCGGCTGTCGCTGGTTGCCTGACCCGGCCAAAGGAAAACGCCCAGGTGTGGTAAGATGGCCTGCGCCACCTCCGGAAGACGGCAAATTGCGGCCTGGTTGTTGCATTCCCCCGGTTGCTGGTCCTGACCGTGTGGACAAAGGAAAAGTCGAGCTTGTTCTCCTGGCCAATTGTTGTTCAACAAGACGGGCCCGTTGATGGGCATCAGAAACGGATTCCGGCTTGACTATATTCAACATGTCCTGTATAGCCACCCTCAACCCACTGACATATCGCGAAATCAACTGAGACTTAGTCTCGTGTACTTCAACTCGATTCAATAGCTGATAAAACTCGTTAGTGTAGTCATCCACAGAACGAGTTCCCTGTCTTAAGTTATGTAGCTGCTGATACACGACACTATCGTAATTAACAGGCAAAAACTCATCCTCTACATACTTGCGAAATTTCATCCAAGAAATAATTGGTGATTTCCCTTGACGATGCCGCATGCTCGTAATATGCATCCACCAAGTTGCCGCCCTACCACGAAAACGAGTAGCAACGAATGCGACACGCTTATCTTCCGGGACCGCCTTGAATGCCAATACCGATTCCACAGCGGCCCACCAATCAACAAAGTCACCGGGCTCAACACTACCGTGAAATTCCGGGATGTCAGCTCGAAGCCCCGCATCCCAACGTGAGTCCTCACCACCATCTATCGGGCGCCGGCCCTCACATCGCTGCTGCCACGTCTCATCCGCTCCCGCACCATAGCCAAACCGACCGCCGCGCCGGAATTCTGCTCCTGCCCGAGGCCTGCGACCGCGGCGGAACTCGCCGAAATCCTCCTCAAAAGCCTCCTCCTCGGACTGCAGCCCTTCCTGGCGGAACGCGCGCTCATCCACCTGCTCAGCCCCAGCCCGCCACAGAGCCCGCAGGCGGCGTCCTTCTCCTCCGTCGCGCCCCCCTTGCGCGTAACCAGTCCCGCCGGCACCTGTCCCATGAAACCCTAGGCCGCCATCGCGAAATCCGAACCCAGGAGCTCGGGCCTGCGCGTTGATTCCGTCCGCGAAAGGGTTGTCCACCGTCCAAGTGTCGTCGGAGTCATCACCGGTAGGCGGTGGTTGTGGTGATCGGCGGCGGGGCGCCCCGCCAAAGCCCCGACCTCCTCGACCACCGCGGTGTCCCTCGCGAGTGCCCCGGTCAGCCACATCACGATTTCGACTCATCTCGTCCACCATGGTGTGCATCGTCAGTCGTAGTTCCTCGAATCCCGTCGAAAGATCCACAAATCGTTCATCAATACCGTTAAATCGCTCATCAATTCTCTGGAATCGTTCATCAACGGAGTTATCGATCACGGGTTTGTCCTTCTTCGGCGGCATCGTGGATCGTCGGCTGGTCTGCTGATACCAACTGATGTAGAGGATGATTACGAAAGGGAAAAAACAATCTCAAGAGAGAACAGATAAATTTTATTCAATCGATGAAAACTGTTCTCTCTCTTCTGTTCGCAGTACATAAATAAGGAGTTTCCACTAACTTCACTAAAGCACGATAAATCCTAATAATTAAAGAAACACCCCCATACTAATAAAATAACACAATTGCAACCACTAAAGATAAATAGACCCAAAAAAAAAATAAAGCAATAAAATAAATGTGTTAGACACGCAAACGGTCATATTTCTGCAAGAACATCAACGCGGCCTCGTCTCCATCACTCTCTCTCTCTATCTTCCTTCATCTAATCTTTGTTTGATCTGTTGCGTTTCAGTCGCATCCATTAGATGTTGTTTTAGTTTGATCCCCTTTTGATTTGTGTTTCATTTTGTTATTGTGAAGGCGCTAGGAAGTCGTCCCGAGCACCGGCGGGTCAAGAAGCCCCGCCGTTACCTCTCTGGAATAGTCGGTCTTCGGTAAACCCTAATACCCAAATTTCGCTTTGTATTCACTTTCTTTCCTCTGCAATTTCCAACGTCCAAATTCTTTGATTATTATTTTTTTCTATCTGTTTTTTTCTCAAATACTAAGAGTGATATAGGTTTGGTTGGAGTTGTGAGTATTTTGGTCGTGGATATCAAATTTTTGGTATTTGGTGAAAATTGGTTTTATACTTTTGTTCTCGAGCTACAACAAATAGTTGAACTATAACCTCACAGGTGCTTTGCTTTTGGCCAATTTTGTCGAGCCTCAGGAGAAATCTCCTCACACGCGCGAATGGCTGATTCTCCATTCACGAAATCAGTACCGGCTGATATCAATACAAAACCGGACGAGTGAAATCATGTGAACTAAATAAATGGAAGAGTGAGTCAATCGTCACCAACGAAGTGTACGAACATTGCAGAAGCTACTGATAATTGAAATTGGGAGCAAGGCAAGAGATGCTTTTATTATTCTTCGCGTTTCAAGGCGGATGCTCGAAACCCCCTCCGTGTTGGCCTGACCCTTTCCCTTCCCAATGGTATCCCTATTTATTCGTTCAATTTCGTTTTGGTGTGTTTTTGTATTTAATACTCAATTGGATTTGCAATTCGATGATTTTTCATTCATTTTCTTTCTTTCTTTTTCATTTGCATAAATTGTCTATAGAATCGCCTGGATGTTGTGTTTTCATGTTGCTTGAAGTTTCACCTATTGAAAAAAAATTACACCTTTGAGCTTGTGGTGGAATATTCGCCTTTTAATTATGCAATTTAAACAAAATTGAGAAGTTGGAAGGTTCTCTTTTTCTTGAATTTCATAAAGGTACCTAACCTACTTATCCCTTTGGTCACCAATTGCTTGTTAAATAGGGAGACCTCAAATTGTGTGTACAGTAAATTATATGTATGTGCAGATTGTCGTTCAAAAAAAATTTTTTATCCTTGGACATTTTACTTAAATTTAAAGAACGAATAGTGCAATGCTTGGAGGCAATAATATGTTTTGTTTTAAAGGCTTATTGAAAGCTTTGGTTATTATGTCATAGATGCATAAAAATATAAACCATAGAATTATTATAAAAAACTAAATCTGATCTACACATTGTGAGTGTGTTGCATGTCCCTGCTATGCACACACGGTACTTCATGATTGTTTCTGTTCTTATGTGGCTAAGTTATGTAAGTTGCACCTACTAGGATAATAATAGGGGTGTCTTATAATTCTTATGTTTGGTGAGAAAGAGGATAGAGAGGTTGCTTGCATCTACGCCGCCTTCTTTCTTCACAATGATAGCATCGCCATCACTTAATTTTCTTTTTGTATATTTTCAGCCATTTTACATGTCTTTTGGGGGATTTTGTTGTTGGATTTGATTCTTCCGTTCTGCAGGCTGAGAAGATTTTTCCAAATGGCCGCTTCATTCTCTAGGTATTTTTTCTCGTTTTTTATTGTGTAGGTGTTTTCTTCCCAGCCGTAGATACGTATGGAATTGTTTATGAGACAGATTTATAGAGCGCCTTTGCCTCAACAAAGCGGGGCCGGGAACATCACCTGTTGGTTTGGCAATTTAGGCTTCGGCATCTACTTCTCCCATGGGTGATGAGTTTAGGGGCAAAACTTAGAGGTGGATGGTGGTGCGTCTGTCTTTTTTTTTATTATTTTATTATTTTGGCATTCCATACCTAATTTGCATCTATTTGTTTGTTATTTTTAAATTTTCCTCATTACTTCCCACAAGTGTGTGTGTGTGTGTGTGCGCGTGTGTCTGTCTGTCTATACATAAAATCTGTAGGGGCTAAATTTGTTTTGCCATTAAATTTTATATAGTTTTCATGATATAATGTGTTTTTCTTTAGTGGTCATGAATAGGCCCTTTCTAATGCACACTTTTTCATCGCCTTATTGTGATACAGATTTTCATTATTATTGTTATCCAATCATCATACTTATTCTTAATCTCTTTCCACTATTTACATTGTTTAAGCTTTTACTTCTCTTCCTCAGCCATACATTACAACAATGATTAGAAGTAATTCATATGGTCACTGCTTTTAAAGCTATAGTGGATGAAAGAAGCAATAAGTATTGTTGGAGATGCCTTGTGTTTAAATTTGTCTTGAATCCACTCTTGTCTCGCTTTTCCCTATATACTTACAACTTTGAACAACCGAAAAAAGAAAGGTTCATATTGACTGTCTATCCAAGGCCTGGGTGTCTTTTATCTTTGGATTTGTATACATGCCATGCTACAACTATAACGTGACATGTAAAGTGTTTCCCTCAAAATGAGAACCAAAGTTTGATAAATGTCTACCCGCAGATAAAAATTAATTGTTTATTTTTCTATCCAAATTAAATTTTCACTCTGTGGTGCTGATAATGAATAAGGATGCTGATAATGAATAAGGCTGGAATAAAATTGGACATCTGTATTGTTATTGTTGATTTTCTGCTAACTAGCTATTTATCTACTAGATATAAAGAATTTTTATGGAACTTTCAAATCCTATTGCGAGATTTTCTTCCCTAATTCTTTTATCTTGCTTGTTTTGCATGATTAACAAGTCATTCAGCACACTGCGTTTTGGTTTCTGAATGATTTCTACTGAACTTTTAATTTTATGCATCCCCAGGTCCAAGGTGAATTCCAGAAGGCTTATGAGACTTACGAAAAAGGAATCCAGAAGTCCAAGTGAGTTTTGAAAAAATTCTGGAAAATATCCATGTCTTTTCTGTTTAATCATTAATTCAAGTGTTTGTGTGTCTTTCCTTTTACGTATTGGGAACCAACATATGAGGATTCTTTTAGTTTGATTGCTCGACTTTCAATTGCTTCTGATTGATGTTGCTTATGTTCACTACATGTTTGTTAATGGATTTATCTTACTTATCTTCGTTAAGAACTGTGAGCACAATTAATCCTTGTAGTCACTTTATCTTTTTCTATTTACATTTTTATGAAATTGAAGGATATACTGATACAAGAATAGAGACATCATACCGACACATGTCTCCCTGTATTATGGTGGAAATTTCACTAACATGTTAGGATTTGATAATCCAGTTGTGCTGCAACTCATGAGACTTTGTGTTACCATACAAGTATGTTTTGATATTTATGCAATGAAAAATGATAAAATATGTGAATAATTTGCAATTTCCTGAAATTGAAATCCCGAATGATCTTTATATTTTTAAAAGATATTGTTGTTTTGTTGCAGTGGTCATGAAGGTGGAAATGTTAGTGCACATCGTTTCTTAGTTGTGAAGTATGTGCTTCTATATAAAGAGAACTTGAAGAATTTCAATAAATGAGAAAGCAAGACGTCTGGTCATCCTGAAAACTTTGAGACTCCTTGTGTCTAAGTCACAACTGGTTAGAACTATTTTACGAAATATATGTTCATCTATAACACATTGACTTTGAAGCGGGGGATGTCTGTATGCATGCTCATGCCATTTGCATAGGGATATTTCACTCATTTGTAGCAGTAATAAATTTACTATTATCTGTACTCAAACTCAAAGCAGCTACGTTTTACTTATTCAGATCCGTAATAGAAAAATAACAGTAATATGAACGACAGCCGCCTTTGTCCATCTTCGGATTATATATTTCATATTTTTGCCATGCATCTTGTCCCTGAGCACTCTGGCTCCTCTCACTCCTGCTTTATTCATTCTTCTCTAAAATATTTCTATCGATTTCACATTTTGTCTGCAGTGTTTAATTATTTTCGTTACACAAGTTGTAGATTAGTTAATTTGATGGTGTTCTATGTACATGTTTTCAAATATATTGTTACTTACATAA